GTCACAACCCTGCCCCTGTGTTACACTAAGCTAACAGTTACACCCTGCCCCTCGGTTACACTAAGCTAACAGTCACAACCAGTGAGTAACTGTTATCTTAGTGTAACACAGGAGCCAGGGTGTAACTGTTAGCGTAGTGTAACACAGGGGCCGGGTTGTGACTGTTAGCTTAGTGTAACACAGGGGCCGGGTTGTGACTGTTAGCTTAGTGTAACACAGGGGCAGGGTGTAACTGTTAGCTTAGTGTAACACAGGGGCCAGGGTGTAACTGTTAGCTTAGTGCAACACAGTGGTCAGGATGTAACTGTTAGCTTAGTGTAACACAGGGGCCGGGTTGTGACTGTTAGCTTAGTGTAACTGAGGGGCAGGGTGTAACTGTTAGCTTAGTGTAACACAGGGGCCAGGGTGTAACTGTTAGCTTAGTGTAACACAGGGGCCGGGTTGTAACTGTTAGCTTATTGTAACACAGGGGCCAGGGTGTAACTGTTAGCTTATTATAACACAGGGGCCAGTGTGACTGTTAGCTTAGTGTAACACAGGGGCAGGGTATAACTGTTAGCTTAGTGTAACACAGGGGCCAGGGTGTAACTGTTAGCTTAGTGTAACACAGGGGCCAGGGTGTAACTGTTAGCTTAGTGTAACACAGGGGCAGGGGTGTGACTGTTAGCTTAGTGTAACACAGGGCCAGGGTGTAACTGTTAGCTTAGTGTAACACAGGGGCCAGGGTGTAACTGTTAGCTTAGTGTAACACAGGGGCCAGGGTGTAACTGTTAGCTTAGTGTAACACAGGGGCCAGGGTGTAACTGTTAGCTTAGTGTAACACAGGGGCCAGGGTGTAACTGTTAGCTTAGTGTAACACAGGGGCCGGGTTGTAACTGTTAGCTTATTGTAACACAGGGGCCAGGGTGTAACTGTTAGCTTATTATAACACAGGGGCCAGGGTGTGAATGTTAGCTTAGTGTAACACAGGGCCAGGGTGTAACTGTTAGCTTAGTGTAACACAGGGGCCAGGGTGTAACTGTTAGCTTAGTGTAACACAGGGGCCAGGGTGTAACTGTTAGCTTAGTGTAACACAGGGGCCAGGGTGTAACTGTTAGCTTAGTGTAACACAGGGGCCAGGGTGTAACTGTTAGCTTAGTGTAACACAGGGGCCGGGTTGTAACTGTTAGCTTATTGTAACACAGGGGCCAGGGTGTAACTGTTAGCTTATTGTAACACAGGGGCAGGGTGTAACTGTTAGCTTAGTGTAACACAGGGGCCGGGTTGTAACTGTTAGCTTATTATAACACAGGGGCCAGGGTGTAACTGTTAGCTTATTATAACACAGGGGCCAGGGTGTAACTGTTAGCTTAGTGTAACACAGGGGCCAGGGTGTAACTGTTAGCTTAGTGTAACACAGGGGCCAGGGTGTAACTGTTAGCTTATTATAACACAGGGGCCAGGGTGTAACTGTTAGCTTAGTGTAACACAGGGCCAGGGTGTAACTGTTAGCTTAGTAACACAGGGGCCAGGGTGTAACTGTTAGCTTAGTGTAACACAGGGGCCAGGGTGTAACTGTTAGCTTAGTGTAACACAGGGGCCAGGGTGTAACTGTTAGCTTAGTGTAACACAGGGGCCGGGTTGTAACTGTTAGCTTCTTGTAACACAGGGGCCAGGGTGTAACTGTTAGCTAAATGTAACATAGGGGCCAGGGTGTAACTGTTAGCTTATTGTAACACAGGGGCAGGGTGTAACTGTTAGTTTAGTGTAACACAGGGGCCGGGTTGTAACTGTTAGCTTATTTTAACACAGGGGCAGGGGTGTAACTGTTAGCTTAGTGTAACAGGGGCAGGGTTGTGACTGTTAGCTTAGTGTAACACAGGGGCCAGGGTGTGACTGTTAGCTTAGTGTAACACAGGGGCCAGGGTGTAACGCACTGTTCGGATATTGTACATGATAATACAGTCACACTGTTCGGAGATTGTACATAAAATAATTATAGTCACACTGTTCGGAGATTGTAAAACGTCTGCCCGAGAATTAGGTTTAAAATACTCTAAGGTGAACCTTTCTCCGAGATCTGGTTTTAAAACGGTACGAGATAAATTTCTGCGGTAAATTGTAAACTTGGGCTTCTAGCATCCAACTATGAACTAAAGTCCGTTTAAATAAAGTCCGACAAGGTAGTATGTAGTATTATTGATTATATTAAATGTACAACTACAAGCTACAATTTGCTCAGGGTTAACATCTAATATTTTGGTCTTTCACTGTTCCAACAGCTAAGGAAAGCTATTGAATGTTTCAGTGTAAATACTGATATTATATAATAAAACATACCCCGACCAATTTACCTCAATACACATTGTACCAATTGATCCTCAGGGCAATAAGTTAGTTAAAGGTGTTATCACGTGATCTCGGTCACATGACTGCTAGTAAGACGCACCTTAGCTGCTTGAAGGGGGCAATTAGAATACTGAACTCACACAGTTGCACATATGCTCAATACTGGATCACCGACCACATTTCTTAATATGGTTAAATTGGTCATAGATATTATTGTTTATTATTGTTATTTCCAGAACAATGACAGGTCCATTTTCGATAAAACTTTCGCCATCTGAACTGTCATAATGTAAGTTTTACAACGGTACCAATTCCATAAATACGATTAAAAAACCATCCACCCTATTAAATATCTGAGTCTCATGTTTTTGTTTGCCATGCGGCACCATGCCTTTGTTTTCGAAACCTAACATTTGCATTTATAAAGCTTCAAATATAATTATTTTGGTTTATTTTCCAACTATTACATAATTGCTCAATTAGCTGATGAGATTCTAAAAATTGTATAGTTCAACTGAGCTTAAAGTAATAGTTTAAATCAGTGTGACATTCGATATTGCGTTCAAATATTTCAGTAAGTAATTTTATTTCTAATACCTTTGACGACTCTTTTAATCCAGTTTTATTACGTTGACCTCGTTATACTTGACAAGAGTTGCACTAACAAAGTATTTGTTGTTGAATGAAGATATATAATATACAGGACCGAAGGTGTTTTGATAATTTTAATAACTGAAAATATAGTTCAATTATTTTCCAATATCGGACCATATTCAATAAGTATTTATTTCAACTTTCGTGTTGACTGTCAGAACATATAATATAGTATACTAAATACTAATTTTGTACCTCTTTCTACAACTACAAGTACACGAAAAGCTCAAACTAGTTACCTAATTTAGTATCTTTCCTTATGCGTGTGTCAATATCCATTTAATAAGCATTTAATTTTAAGTGCTAGCTTTATACTTTGGATACTTTGGAGAGATTCGTAGATTCCTCTACTGGGTCATCGAATAGTTCGACCACCCTTGCAGCATCGCTGCTGCCTTATTCATACTCCAGTCCAGCAAAGAATTTCCGTTAGGGCAGCGTAAATTGTAAATGCTGACAGATGGGTTATCTGAAAACGGTTTAAGAAATGCTGATAGCTTTGCTTTGAACAGCAGTGGCGGGTCTTCAATGAGGTAAAGATCTGATGTGTTCCACAAACCTGGCCCCATTACTGCAAGTGAACCATCATACAATGACTGTTGCCTTTGAGTACTGCGCTTGCTGAGACTTGGAATGGTGGCCTTGATTCCTTGTCTTGATGGAGTAGAAAAGTGGACCCCAGGTCATTTGGGCAGCGTTGGTGCAAGATTTTCCACATGTGGATGATAATATAACGCTCTCTCCTCCTTTGCATTGACATTAAATTTAGTGCTTTGAGCCGCTGCTAATATTCAAGATGTTGAACACCCCAAATCCTTGAGTTGAAAGTACGCTGTACTCCTTCAATCTGTTAGATGTCTGCGATTTTACTGGTATTCCACAGAGGGCAGCAGTACTCGAAATGACTTCGGACAAGTGACTTGTCAAGTGTCAACATTGTGATTCTATTTCTGCATTTGAACGCACTGAGCACCCAGGCTGCAACTTTTCTAGCTCGGGATGCCATAGAACTGACATGATGTGACCACGACACTATAACTCCAAAATCCTTAACTTAGTCTGTACTCTGTAGGATAGAGCACATTACCACCTGACACCTTGTATGTTTGTGTTTGAAATACAAAAGGTAGCAGATACAGACTCTCAGGATTCCCCGGAGAACTAGGAGCTCAAACCTATCCTCGTTTATTATAGGGGTCGTTCACATATTACGTAATCATTTTTTGGAACATTTTTACCCCCCCCCCCCCCCCCCGTAATCAGTTTTACACATAGCTATTGTGTCAAAATGTTAATTACACTAGCGTAATCATTCGGAAACCCCCCTCCTCTCCTCTCAGCTGATTGCGTAATATGTGAACGACCCCTTATTACGTTTGGCACAAGCAATGACAGGGTCGATAGAACGATAACTTATATATTGCTTCACCGAAGAACTTTATTCCGGTCCATTATCTCAGCTTCTGAATGGTTTTATACGCAACAAAAAAAACCCACATTAATAGTTTTATAAACTATTCGATCATTCCGATAAATTTAAGAGTTCAAATTCGAATGCCTTATAATTCGGCTGATTAAGTAAGATAATTTGGTTATAAGGCTAAACCTCCTAATTAGATTTGCTGGCCCAAGATAATTTGGTGACATGCATCAAGTAGATCACACCCTAATGTTTATTTAGATTTCTAGGATGCGTGTTATAGACTGTAAGTGTAGCGGTCCATCAAAAAATGTGGATGTGTAATCGAATTTACTTGGGCTGAGTTTTAACAATCTACCTTTATACGAATTTGGAGTCTGGAATCTGGATGTATGAATCATGTTATTTCAAGAAGTGACGGTGCAGTCATTTTGGTTTGGATTATTCATTGGTTTAATCTAGCTTCTATATTTTCCACGATTTTGTAAATAAAAGGTGTTTTTAAAAGCGCCAACTCCCCGATCAATTATAAGATGAATTCTTTGCACGAAGACACATTACAAAATTCTTCTCACAAATAATTTTTTCCTGTAGCCGTAAGACTGAGTTCAGGATGACTGTTGGAATGTAGCTACATCTCTTCTCACCCGACTTCTGCCAGAGGTTCCGTCTTAAAGATTCGTAAGCAGATACTTAGTACGAACTCAAATGTTAACCTACCGTTTCACAAGGTAGAATTTTGCTAAATTTTAGGACGTCCTTTACTATTTCTACCCTCTTAATACCAATAACAAAAAAATGCGCTCGCTGGTGTTATAATACGCTGCGGTCATATACTCATTTTTGAGTATTCGTATTGATTAACTTGGGAGGGGGGGGGGCTCATGTTTTGTGTCCAGTTTTGTCCGTTTGGTACTCTATATTTTTTCCTTAACGGACAAAAAGTAGGGCGGACAAAAACGGACATAAACGGACATAAACGGACAAAAAACGTTATGAAAATAAAATGTAGATGCTTCCTCCTCCTCCTACTACTCCTCCTCCTCAGTCCTCCTCCTCCTCAGTCCTCCTCCTCCTCAGTCCTCTTCCTCCTCCTCCTCCTCCTCAGTCTTCCTCCTCCTCAGTCCTCCTCAGTCCTCCTCAGTCCTTCTCCTCCTCCTCCTGCTCCTCAGTCCTCCTCCTCCTCCTCCTCCTCCTCAGTCCTCCTCAGTCCTCCTCCTCCTCCTCCTTCTCCTCCTCATCCTCCTCCTCCTCCTCCTCAGTCCTCCTCCTCCTCAGAAAATAAAATTCAGATGCTTCCCCCTCCTCAGTCCTCCACCTTCTCAGTCCTCCTCCTCCTCCTACTCAGTTCTCCTCCTCCTCAGTCCTCCTCAGTCCTCCTCAGTCCTCCTCCTCCTCCTCCTCTTCCTCCTCCTCCTCCCCCTCCTCCTCCTCCTCCTCCCCCTCCTCCTCCTCCTCCTCCTCCTCCTCCTCCTCCTCCTCCTCCTCCTCCTCCTCTCTTCCTCCTCCTCCTCCTCCTCCTCCTCCTCCTCCTCCTCCTCCTCCTCCTCCTCCTCCTCATCCTCTTCCTCTCTTCCTCCTCCTCCTCATCAGTCCTCCTCCTCATCCTCCTTCTCCTCAGTCCTCCTCTTGCTCCTCCTCCTCCTCAGTCCTTCCCCTCCTCTTTCTTCTCCTCCTCCTCCTCCTCCTCCTCCTCCTCCTCCTCCTCCTCCTCCTCCTCAGTCCTCCTCCTCCTCCTCCTCCTCCTCCTCCTCCTCCTCTTCCTCTCTTCCTCCTCCTCCTCATCAGTCCTCCTCCTCATTTTCCTCCTCCTCCTCCTCCTCAGTCTTCCTCCTCCTCAATCCTCCTCCTCCTCAGTCCTCCTCAGTTTTCCTCCTCCTCAGTCCTCCTCCTCCTCAGTCCTCCTCCTCAGTCTTCCTCCTTGTCAGTCCTCCTCTTCCTCAGTCCTCCTCCTCTTCAGTCCTCCTCTTCAGTCCTCCTCCTCCTCAGTCATCCTTTTCCTCCTCAGTCCTTGTCAGTCCTCCTCCTCCTCCTCCTCTTCCTCTTCCTCCTCCTCCTCCTCCTCCTCATCCTCCTCCTCCTCCTCCTCCTCATCCTCCTCCTCCTCCTCCTCCTCCTCTTCTCCTTCTCCTCCTCCTCCTCCTCCTCCTCCTCATCCTCTTCCTCTCTTCCTCCTCCTCCTCATCAGTCAGCTCCTCCTCATCCTCCTCCTCATCAGTCCTCCTCTTGCTCCTCCTCCTCCTCCTCAGTCCTCCTCCTCCTCTTTCTTCTCCTCCTCCTCAGTCCTCCTCCTCTTCCTCCTCCTCCTCAGTCCTCCTCTTGCTCCTCCTCCTCCTCCTCAGTCCTCCCCCTCCTCTTTCTTCTCCTCCTCCTCAGTCCTCCTCCTCTTCCTCCTCCTCTTCTTCCTCAGTCCTTCTCCTCCTCAGTCCTCATATGTACGATACCTTCTCAGTTCTTCTATTACATTTAAATTTGTTTGACATCGTAGACATTTAAAAGACTCGACCTTATCATCCTCCTCAGTCCTCCTCAGTCCTCCTCCTCCTCCTCCTCCTCCTCCTCCTCCACCTCCTCCTCCTCAGTCCTCCTCCTTCTCAGTCCTCCTCCTCCTCAGTCTTCCTCCTCCTCAGTCCTCCTCAGTCCTCCTCCTCCTCAGTCCTCCTCCTTTCCCTCAGTCTTCCCCCTATTATGAAAATAAAATTTAGATGCTTCCTCCTCCTCAGTGCTCATCCTTCTCAGTCCTCCTCCTCCTCCTCCTCAGTTCTCCTCCTCCTCAGTCCTCCTCAGTCTTCCTCCTCCTCAGTCTTCCTCCTCCTCAGTCTCCCTCCTTCTCAGTCCTCCTCAGTCCTCCTCCTCTTCCTCCTTCCTCCTCCTCCTCCTCCTCCTCCTCCTCCTCCTCCTCCTCCTCCTCCTCCTCCTCCTCCTCCTCCTCCTCCTCCTCCTCCTCCTCCTCCTCCTCCTCCTCCTCCTCCTCCTCCTCCTCCTCCTCCTCCTCCTCCTCCTCCTCCTCCTCCTCCTCCTCCTCCTCCTCCTCCTCCTCCTCCTCCTCCTCCTCCTCTCTTCCTCCTCCTCCTCCTCTCTTCCTCCTCCTCCTCCTCTCTTCCTCCTCCTCCTCCTCTCTTCCTCCTCCTCCTCATCAGTCCTCCTCCTCATGCTCCTCCTCCTCAGTCCTTCTCAGTCCTCCTCTTGCTCCTCAGTCCTGACCTCCTCAGTCCTCCTCCTCTTCCTCAGTCCTCCTCAGTCCTCCTCCTCCTCCTTCTCCTCATCCTCATCAGTCTTCATCCTCCTCAGTCCTCCTCAGTCCTCCTCCTCCTCCTCCTCCTCCTCAGTCCTCCTCCTCCTCCTCCTCCTCCTCCTCCTCAGTCCTCCTCCTCCTCAAGAACGATATTTTTCATAAATAAAGTGATTTTCATCCCTTTTTATGTTGTGTAGACTATTCTTTGTACCTAATTGAGGATTGAAAGTTTGAGAAAGGACCGTGGTCATTAACCGTGCTACCCATTTCTGCAGATAGCCTGTTACAAATTGTGGAGACAATTTAAATCAAAAGTTTTGTCCGTTTTTGTCCGTTTGGTACCCTTATATTTTCTGAAACGGACAAAATCGAACGTACAAAAACGGACAAAAACAAAATGAGCCCCCCCCCCCCCTTAACTTAAAAATTATTTTGTAGTTCACATTTTTAAGTTAACCGAATCTGCCTTGAATTGTTGGTGTCATAGCATTTTGCAACTACAATAATTTGCTTTTTCAGACCGGACGTAAAGAGACCTCAAGCATTTCGTCTCTCGCGACGAAAACACTTGATGAGCATATCACTAACAGATATTGTAAGTGATCAATGATTCCCATCGAAATCTGATGTGGCTTTGTTTATAAATAATTCAAAGCATAGGTCATATTGAATAATCCTGCAGACTTTATATTTTTACATCGATATTAGGTCTTAAAATCTAATATTAAGATTAAATTATAATGTAATTATTCTTAATCTTGCTCAGGAGATACCAAAGAACCCCGACTCCTAAACCCAAAGATTTTATCGAGAAAACCATTTGTTGACCTAGCTTCTACGTATCTTCATTTCCGGCCAGCAGCTCTTGTCCTAGATGCACCTATCTTGATATACAACGGCAACTTGATAGACTTTTCAATCTTTATCAAAGCCAAAGCACGATGTTCTACAGCTCCATGTCCATTGACCAGACGGCAAACCTATATGTGACTAATTTCGGACAGCAGATAAAATCTCGCCGACACCTTTATCAATACCAGTACCACCTCCCTGTCCCTAAGAACATGAGTATGTAAGATTGGAAACATACGAAAGAACCTATTTAAACTTATGCTTCTTTTGAAAATGTATGAAGTGTATACAGAAAACGAGAATAACAAATCTTGACATCAAACAAGCAGCTTTCTTTTCCAGTCCATCAGCACAATAAACGATGCAGTTCACCTTGTTAAACAGAACTTGAAGAGATCGCGGTAAATAAAAGCCCTCTAGTATCACAGACCTACAAGGGTTGCAGTAGGAAAAACAGATAAAAAGATCACGAGCATGAAGGAGGCCACCCTACTAGTCCAAGTCTCCAACCAAGATCAGGGCACTATTTGGACATAGCTCGTTACAAGACTAGAATTGACTACGAGAAGAGTGCCACATGCCCTGCAATCTGCATGTGATGAAGCCTCGAAGAAATCGTAAGGCAATGGTTGTCGTACACAGCTACCATCCGTGCCGGATACGAAGCATACTCTTTGGTAGAGCAGATGTAGTCCAAGACACGATGTCATCTAATCCAGAGAAGGTCCTAGCGTACGCAAACTGCGACTCTAACCTCTGACTCGCCACATCACAACAGCCCAGAGCACTTTGCAGTAGATGGCAGTCATCATTGGCAGCTAAATATAATATCCGATAGGAATCTGGATATTTGCAACTGAAATATTATGCATCTTGCTGATATAATGACATTTATGGAATGACCCAGAAAAAAAGATCTCATAGCTTTGGGATCCCAAAAACTGTTGATGTGAGCGCTCTAAATTATGATTGGAAACTTCATCTTCTACGAAAGTTCATCTTCTACGAACGTTCATCTTCTATGAAAGTTCATCTTCTACGAACTAGTTCGTCTTCTACGAAAGTTCATCTTCTACGAAAGTTCATCTTCTACGGAAGTTCATCTTCTACGGAAGTTCATCTTCTACGAACTACTACAACTCTACAGTCTACAAGTACAACTATACATCCCTGCATCTCTACAACTCGGCAATTCTTCTGTCTAAAACTTTAAGTAGTAGAAGCTTTGGTATCGAAGGCAATAATCTGATGATTTTCTAGAGCATTTATTCCGCGTATCAATAATTACCATCACGTGAAGACAGGGGCTCATGTGGTTCATTACATTGATCATATTAGCAAGGATGTGATATACAATGCGCTAATCATACTGTATATCGGATTACACTGTATCTCGATTGCGGATATAAAGGTGTCAAATTGTCAATATACAGTTAATGTCGATATACAGCTTGATTACCTGTTTGCGACCGTAGCAATATTACACATTGCACATGTTTAATTTGAAAGAAACTAGCTTGTCGACAAAAATCGTCTCTTCGCACAACAAGCAAACTTTGGTTAACCTTGGCATCCTCAGCAATCAGTCAAATGGATTGATTCAAATCATTTAAATTGGCATATGATCGGACAAACTTATTCAAACTTTGTTACAAATTAATGACGCTACCTTAAAAATTGTACACAGCTGCAGAGTTGGACTTTCCGGTCCATTTGTTATTATGTTCCGCAGAACAATATTTGATGAAAGTTTATTATCTCAAGATCTGATTGATAGATTTTCTTTGAACTTTCCAGATAGTTACATATAAATATAACTTGCACAGATTATCCGTCTTATAGCCATATATGGCTATAAGACGGATAATCATTGCAAGTTTGGACGAACTTCTATGTGCCAAATTTAAGATATCACTTCAAACACAAGAAAATATCTCCAAACTGTCGCTTCGTAGAAATTCGCCCAAACTCGCACAGATTATTTGTCTTATATATAACGATCTGGAAAGTTTAAAGAAAATCTATCAGTCAGATCTTGAGATACATGCCAAATATTGTACCGATTTGGAGATATTTTCTTGTGTTTGAAGTGATATCTCCAATTAGAAACTCGCCCAAACTTGCACAGATTATTTGTCTTATAACCATATAATTATTTGGAAAGTTTAAAAAAAATATATCTGTCAGATCTTCAGATATATGCCTCGGTACCACTGCAAACCACCCATTTGGAGATATTTTCTTGTGTTTAAGAAGATATCTCAAATTTGGCACATTGAAATTCGCCCAAACTTTCATAAATAATTTTAATTGTAATTATTTAACTATCTGAAAAGTTTAAAAAGATTTTGTTGGTCAGTTCTCAAGAAAACAGAAAATCAAGAATATATTTTAAATTATTTACTAAGACACTTGATTTTCGAACTTTTTATTTGATACAGATTTGTCGAAAGTCCTTCTGACAATGCAGTAAAAACTTTACATTCACCGCCGGTGATATTAATATTGCACATATTTCACGTTACATGAAGAACATATTCGTTCATTTAGATGCATCTTTGATGATTATTAAAAACTTTACATATACCGCCGGCGCGAAACGTTAGCGTCAAGGTAACTCCACAATTTTGTCGCGCAATAAGTCACGTGACTAGCGCGGCGTCAGTCATGACTGACGCCGCGCTAATGACGACGTATATTGTGTAGCCTCTCTCGCCGGCCGGCCGGCGTGCACGCTTCGCGTGCACGAGAGGTATACAACGTGTAGCAACGCGCGGCAAGTCATACAACGTATGACAATGCATCAACGTATGACAATGCATCATTGGCTTAATTTCAATATTTGATTGAAGAAATATATTTCATAAATCATCTTCTTTAATCGAAAACTTCTCGTTTAATCGAAAACTTCTCGTTTCACCGAACTTTTTATTTGAAAAATAATAAAACAAGATTTGTTGCTTGACCATTGTTAATGGTTTGGCCCGGCGCGCGCGACATCGTAGCACTTGCCATCGGGCCATAATATTTCGAGAAGAAAGCGGCGCGCGCTACTTCGAAGAAATTTAAACGAGTAACATCCGTCAATTGGTTGAGAGCTCCAGAAAAAACTCCACACGTTGTTAAATTCAATTCTTAAATAAAGTATTCTTTACTTAATCATTGCAGGCAGGATTTTGCTAAGAAGCTGGTTCCTGTCTTTAAGACTTTCCATATAGCAGTGTAGGGGGAGGGAGGACACCTGCAACCCATGTTATAGCTGAGACACCTCACAGCAAGTAGACCAAAGTGGTTTTTGCTTGTGAAAGGTTCATCAACGGGTTTGGAATCCCCCTGGGATCATTTCGTCCATAAAATTGTATACAATATAAAATAGTACAGTAAAATATCTACAAAATTTACACACCTTACTCAGGATTATTATGACCGGGATAAAGTGGTGGGTTTAGGGTAATTTCGCCATATTTTTCCCGAACCACATTTTCACCGGTCGTTAATTAACCCGCCTACTCAGCTTTTAGGGTTCCCAAGGGGTATGGGTGCTCATATTTTAATCGTTGTCTTATATTCACTAAAGAAGACTATTGGGACACTTGTTGTAGGTTTTTCGACTTCATTTGGGTAAAATTGCAAAAAATTCACCTTTTTGCCCAATTCTTGTCATATATCCTTATTGTCAAATTTGATTTAAATAGGCCAATTTTTAATTTCTTAGGTATTGACTATCTCTACATAATGAAATAGGACTCAAAGTAAAAGTAACAGTTAAATTAAAACTTGAATTAATTAAAACTGATGAAAGGGATGATCCAGATGAAGATAACGAAGATGATTACAACTTATTGGAAGACTAAACAGCTCTCCCTTTATCTTAATATCGATCTGGTTGTTACGCTTCAAATGTTAAAAATTATTTTCCATCTAGTTTGATTAACCACGAGTCATTATTTCTGTCTACTTTCAACAATTATTGATAATTCGACTTGTTTCACAAGTTTTAGCAATGCGAACATTTCTAAACTTGCATATCTCTAATAAGGAAATTTACATCTGAGACAAAATTTTTGAATCTAAAATTGAAAGGTTGGACACCGGTAAAATGGCGACCGGGAAAATGTGGTGGGTTTTGAGCAATTTCGCCATATTTTTCCCGAACCATATTTTAACCGGTCGTTAATAAACCCGTCGTAATAATCCCGAGTAAGGTAAGCAAATCTAGGATAACTCAAAGATCATCTTCTGAGCGATGAGCTTGAAAGAACTGTCTTGCAGTTCAAGATGCTGGACCGTTGACCTTCCTCTGATTCCCCTCAGTGCAATGAGTGTACTTCTTTACAGATCAAATCTGAATCGTGTTCAGATTTGCCCCCAACAGGACATATCTTTTGCCTGCAATAAGGGGTTACCTAGCTTAGCTTGCTAGTATATTGCTCGCTCCTCTCACGTATGTCGTATGTACAAGAAGCTTGTGCATTGGGACTGGGGCCATAGTCACTCCAGTAATGTAACTGTGTAGTTCATTGTTATTTTTAATCCCCTTTCAGTCAATTGATTAACACCCCCCGCGCGTGAGGGCACGTTTTTACTAGTAATTTGCGACATTACTTTATGGATATCGAATCTCGCAACTTCAACGAAGTGCCGGGGACAAGTTTTCAATAATTCATAAACTTTTCAGTTCCTATCGTTTTAAGCATCGTTAGGGCTTTTCCAGAAACTAACTCTCATCATCGTAGGATAATCATGTGTCGCACAGCACTTGTTTCAGTAGAGAGTGTACTCGCCTTTACGAGAGAATGACGTGTACGTTTCGGTCACCTGCGGAAAAAGGAAGTGAGATATCGAAAATCTGAGACAAACCCGATCGATAAAATCCTTTCAGGTAGGTGCTAGTCAAAATTTCATCTCTTTAGACATTAAGGCCAGAGGGGGGGGTAAATGGCACTTTTCTAGTTTTCACATATTTGATAATAGCTGCTGGAGACGAACAAGAAGAAAAAAACCAGATCAAAATCTGACCTTGCGTTCCTGAGATATCGCGCGCTAAATTTTGAGGTTTACCTGTAATTACATGTTGAACTGGATCTTTAAACGGCTGTAACTTTTTTGACCTTTCGATTCCTTAGTTGAGAAAACCGGCCACTCCCTGATCTTGAGGTTTGGTACAGTGGTTCCTTAGACAATTATCCTCATTTATTATGTGAGCGATTTTTGTTATTTGACTCGGTTCTTGAATTATGAGGTTAACCATGTCAAAAATTCGGAAAATTTAGCTTTCGATTCCTTAGTTGAGAAAGGTCAAAAAATGTGTTTTGAGATAGATGCAATTTAGTGTTTTCAAAATTTTGAATATTCACTGGAATGTATCACAGTTCGTTAGTTAGGACTTTTTATAAACTTAATAACGTTTGCTTGATCAGACCTGGCCGTCCCCTAAATGATTTTAGCTACTTTCAGTAGTTAATTTCCTTGTATTGTAAAAAATGAGGTTAACCAAGACTTCCTGTAAACACTAACTGCTTAAAATTTGGTTGTTAACCTCGCTTTAGACCATATATCACTGGGATTGGTTTATCAATATGTTATTATATATGTAGTAAAACATTTGCACAGTATAACGATTAAGTTTTTGAGGTTAAAATATAATTGATTAGTCAGGTATTCAAAAAATGAGAGGTTAACCTCATTTTTTAGCCATTTACGGGTAAAATCTTCTACTAACATATGGTCAGTTCGAATCACCTTTGTCACGTGATTATGGTTGTAGGCATTGTGATACCAATAGATACCTCACTTCGATATTGTGGTACATTACATAAGTAAGAATCGTATGTATATTCCCTACGGTACCAAAATGTGTTGGTTAACCTCATTTTTTTCATTTTCCCAAGATAAAAGAAAGTCAATCAACACGTCATCTATTTAGAAATGTGTATACCGTAAACTTACGATGAAAATAATAACTCTATCATTTGATCTATTCTCGCTATATCTAAAAGACGAGGTTAACCTCATTTAATCACGTTTGGATATTACTTTTTCTGACAATTATGAACCTAAAATTTAGAGTTTACATTTGCTGACCGAAATAACAAAAAATTATGGCGTGTAATAAAATATCAACCTCAATTTTATTAACCTCAATGTTGTATAGTCAATTTTGTGAAAATCGGTTAACCTCAATTATAAAATAAAGTTAATCAGCTACAAATATGTGAATAGCGGCAATGTTTTTGTCATTAAAAATTAAATCGATTTAGAAAATAATATTTTGGTAGAATTTTTTGACCCCTTACCCCCCCCTCTGGCCTTAAGATGGCTTCAAACACCTCACAAAAAGTTTTCAAAAGTAAAATCTACTCGCGACTTGCAAAAAGCACCATAAAACGTGCCCTCATAGATTTTTGAGGGCAAGTTTTTGAGCGCGCCGTGTGACTTTGTCTCAGCAACAGCGAGTATAGTTACAATCTCGCAACTATGAACAGACAAGGAAAATATTGTATTAATATCTGTCAAAGGAATTTAATGTATTTTAACAACTTGTTCTAATAATGCTAATAACTAATCGATGAACCACATAAATGGTCGGCCCGGTGTGAGTGTATAGTATTGATTTTGCTCTGAAATGGGGCGCTGTTATTGGTTAATACAGCGGCCAATCAGGATCGAGCTGGTTTGTGGCTGCAGTCCAAATTTAGGATCATATCTGATTAGGTACTATACCTAATTAGTGATTATTCACTTTAAAGTAGGATTAACTCGGTATTCACAATCCACATTAACAATTGTCTGCAACCAATCAAGGTCAAGCTGACTACTCACTACTTAACGTGAAAATTATATTATATAGTGTTTGTATCATTATAAGACGACTCATGTTTCTGACATGTCACTTGTCTGACATGTCACTTGTCAGAGGTTAAATGAGAAGACAGTTAGACTCTCATTTGATGTACACATTTTTCTGAATTGTACATGTAACAATCTGTATCAGTAATCTGTAATCAGCATATCAATCACATACCGATGTATCAAAGTGCAAACTGAAATCCTACCTGACAACACAAATTATAATAGTACCATTTTAACTCTCATGAAAGTTTACTCTTCTACTGCACTGGTTTTAATGGAACTTAAAGAACTGTCCGGAAGATAAATCAGTCAAAAGCAAAGCCCCTGAATGCACTGTACACAATCTTTGTAATTACCCAATGTATTTTATCGTGTACACTGTACAGACAGTTCCAATTAAATGCAGAAGAGTTGTTTAATGTTCCCACTTCCCAATTACAATCATGTCAAACTCGAAATTGAGGATTGTATACGGTACTAATTTCTGCCAAATAAGCAATATACATCACAATTTTAATTAGTACATCACCCGAGTGGCGTGAAGGTTAGAGCGTTGACCTCCCCGCGGGGTAGTCGCATGTTCGATGCCCCGTGGAGGTCGAGCTAGTTTTTGCCCAGATCACTCCGAGCACAATCATTTTTCATGATAAATAGATCATAAACAAAACTGACATGGGCCTGGCCATATCTAATTTTAAAACATAACCCAGGCCAGAATTTTCTTGAATAACTGTTGAGTATCAGTAACCAGTGCAGAAAAAGAGAAGATATTTATCTCACTCCACTCTTTCTGCTGTTCTTACTGTTCTCCACTTCTGTTTTAGTGTCATTAACCGCTGCTGGTTCTTCTATCCTGAATGCTTGTTAAACTGGGGAGCTGTATAAATATATAAGTTACAATTATTTTTTAAAGTTACAAATATCAGCTGATTTGCATCATGTAGCGATTTAATGTGGATTGTGAATACCGAGTTAATCTTACTTTAAAGTGCATAATCACTAATTAGGTACCTAATCAGATATGATCCTAAATTTGGACTGCAGCCACAAACCAGCTCGATCCTGATTGGCCGCTGTATTAACCAATAACAGCGCCCCATTTCAGAGCACAATCAATACTATACACTCACACCGGGCCAACCATTTATGTGGTTCATCGATTAGTTATTAGCATTATTAGAACAAGTTGTTAAAATACATTAAATTCCTTTGACAGATATTAATACAATATTTTCCTTGTCTGTTCATAGTTGCGAGATTGTAACTATACTCGCTGTTGCTGAGACAAAGTCACACGGCGCGCTCAAAAACTTGCCCTCAAAAATCTATGAGGGCACGTTTTATGGTGCTTTTTGCAAGTCGCGAGTAGATTTTACTTTTGAAAACTTTTTGTGAGGTGTTTGAAGCCATCTTAATGTCTAAAGAGATGAAATCTTGACTAGCACCTACCTGAAAGGATTTTATCGATCGAGTTTGTCTCAGATTTTCGATATCTCACTTCCTTTTTCCGCAGGTGACCGAAACGTACACGTCATTCTCTCGTAAAGGCGAGTACACTCTCTACTGAAACAAGTGCTGTGCGACACATGATTATCCTAGGATGATGAGAGTTAAAATCTGGGAAAGCCCTAACGATGCTTAAAACGATAGGAACTGAAAAGTTTATAAATTATTGAAAACTTGTCCCCGGCACTTCGTTGAAGTCGCGAGATTCGATATCCATAAAGTAATGTCGCAAATTACTAGCAAAAACGTGCCCTCACGCGCGGGGGGGCCATAGTCACTCCAGTAATGTAACTGTGTAGTTCATTGTTATTTTTAATCCCCTTTCAGTCAATTGATTAAGCCCTCGGAAAGCATTTTATTCACCCAGTTATTTATTTGAATCGACGGAACATTTTATTGACGGTGTCAGATGCCAATTCAGACAACATACCGTATCATCGATGAAATGACATATCCTGCATAGCCAGTTGCAATTTATGCCGTATAAAGATTGCGAAAGAATATTTTTTTAAATCTGAGTTAATGGGGCTCATCATTCTGGTTAGTGGTATCTGGGAGGTTTGACTGTACTTTGCTCAGATAAATAATTGTAATAATCTGTTTTAAGAATTTTTACCAAAATCTTGTAAACTCAGAAAGTATGGCATCGAGCAGTTTTGACAATGCTGTTGATGATTTCACTGAGTTGAAGAAAGCAATTGAGAATTTGATATCTAATAAGCTTGCCCGAGCTCAAAGTAAGAAATGATATAATAGTTTTTATGCATATGTTGTCAAAAAATTTTAAATTATGCATTTGTTTCAGACTCAGCGTAACCTTCTTAACTTTTAAATTGTTTTCTAACTTTATTCTTATTCTAATTTTAATTCTAATTCACTTTGAATGGATCATATGATTTCAGAGGAAAACAGAAAGTTAGTACTGAATGATATTAACAGGCGCCTTGATGCTGCAGAGGTGGCTTTAAAAGAAATGCAAAGAGAAGTGAGTATTAATCTATGTTAATACTCGATCAGTTTTGTTCTTAAGACAGTTAGGAGATGCTTTTAAAAACACTAGGTGTTGTGCAGCTTTCATACGTGTAAATCTGTCTGCAGGTTCACTAAAATTTCTTTACAGGTGGACAAAGCATCAGCCGGAACCAGACCCAAACTGTCCTACCAATTCAGAGCCTACCAATCAGAATTCAACAACCTCACTCGACAGATAGAATCAGCAAAGCAACAAAACTCCGGCCCCAATGATAGTTGGAATCAACCAGACAGCACAAGGTCAGTTGAATATTGAATATTGCGGGCATGGTTTAGAGAAGGGGATTTGGCGCTCCCTGCCCAACCTAGCCATGGTTCAGGTCTCTGGGTGTGGCTCCATGTCCCAACTACTGTGATTAATCAGAGTATGGATTATCAATTTAATAATTTTATTAAAAAATTAAGAACATCAAGATCATTCTTTCTAACCAAGTATAATTTTAGCTTAGAATGTACAGCTTCAACACTGAAACTCCTGGTGATTCAGATTCACAATTGGAGTCAAGCTCTATTTGGAATTCAGCTGGCTTAGCTGTAGACTTCAATCCAAACATACCAACCTTACCAAACAATCCTCTACAACACTTCCAGAACTTTGCTCAGCTCAACAATTTACCTCCTCTTCCAGTTCCTGCTGGATTTGATGAACCCCTTAAGAAGGAGCCTGACAATACCGCTGAGCATGATGTTTCTCCCTTCATTTCCCAGTATTCGAATGAACTAGGAAGTGATGTTGGAGAAACCTCAAATGCGACCACTCCTGCTACCAGTGCTGCAGTATCACCTAACATCGCAGCATCACCATTATTCATCCCTGAAGCACAAGCGCCAAACTTGCCCTCTGTTTCCCCAACACCAATAACCAATAAAGATCCTGGTTATTTTTCTGAAAGTGAGTGTTCCAGCAACAGCTCTGAAAAAGATAACCTATCAGCTCACTTTGCAAAGAGTTTGCACATTGATCCATACGCTCCACTGACCATCCCAGTAAAGTCTCCTGCATCAAGTAAACCATCTCTAGAGAGCATTCCAACTGCTGACACTTCTCCCACTGTTGATACCAGTGTGTTAAACGAAGAAATGATGAATGTTTTGTCCAGATATGATCCCCAAAGTTTTGACCCGCAAGATTTCCAGTTCACTGGGGATGAGTCATGGAAGATAATCAAGAAGCCAGGGAAAGAAGCCGATATTGTCCCAGATCTGTCCTCCCCTGAAAGTGTGCCGTATGTTCCCAGTGAGGGGTCCTGGAGTGGAGCTTCTTCGCCTTCTATTGGAACTCCTTGGAACCCTGAACCTGCTAAACCTTCTTTTGTTCAGTCGACCAAACAACAGGTCAGTCTTTTTCAATGAATAATACACTTATTTAAAGTTGCTAAATGATCAAATGTTGGTCACTGTTTTATCATCTTAGATACCCTTTTTTATCATCTGAAAATTGAAGAGTTTGTCAAAAATTCCCAAATTAATTTAAGTTACACTGCCCTGTTTTGAAACTGTTTCATTTAGCTTTTCTAAGACGTATTTAACACTGTATGTTTGTTCAGGTGTGTGTTTTCTGCAGGAACAATGGAGAAGATGCCAGCGTCTACACCACACACACCTTGATGTCCACTGCAGGGAAAGTTATCTGCCCCATCTTGTTTGCCTACAAATGTCCAATATGCCATGCTACAGGGGACTATGCTCACACACTAAAGTACTGTCCCATGATGCCTAAAGGAATCAGTACCTCTCCTTCTCCTCCTGCTAGCACCTCCCGTGCTCCAAACCTTGCAAGGTTGCCAAAGACTGCTACCTTCCCCAAGCACCTTAGCTCCGGTGCTAAGGCTGCTATGTCCCTGGGCCCGACTACAAATGTAACGAAGCCTTCATTTCAACCTTCTCGAAGTAGAGCGGGCAAAACGTTCCCTCCGACCGAACAGAATACAGGGGGAAATGATATGAATACTATAGCTGACCTCAGAGAAGCTGCCCAGAAGATACTCATGTTTACTAACCAAGTCATGCAGAAGCAGCCCCAGGGTAATCCAAGAAACCCGCCTCAAGTTGCACAGTTCTTACTTAAACTTGACAAGAACAAGCCTGTACCGTCTCAAAATTTCAATAACAGTGAAAGTGTTCCAAGAGGTTTTAACAACAGCGGAAGTGTTCCTAGAGGTTTTAACAACAGCGAAAGTGTTCCTAGAGGTTTTAACAGCAGTGAAAGTGTTCCTAGAGGTTTTAACAACATTGAGAATGTTACTAGAGGTTTTAACAACAGCGAAAGTGTTCCAAGAGGTTTTAACAACAGTGAGAATGTTACTAGAGGTTTTAACAACAGCGAAAGTGTTCCAAGAGGTTTTAACACCAGTGAAAGTGTTCCAAGAGGTTTTAACAACAGTGAAAGTGTTCCTAGAGGTTTCAGTAATAGTGAAAGTGTTCCAAGAGGTTTTAACAACAGTGAGAATGTTACAAAAGGTTTCCTCGGAAACCAAAACCCTGGTTCCAGCGCCAACTTGGATAGCGACATGGCCACTAAACTAATGGAACTGCTCACTGCCTCTTCAAACCCCTCAGGTCAGGGCTACCAACCATTCCCAAACGCTCCTCAGCAGTTTGGTGCCCAAGATGCTTCTTCTGGAGCTGCGTTCAACACCAAACTCCAAGAATTGCTAAGTGGAGGCAACTCCTCTGACATGATGCCAGACAACAAGTACCCGGTACTGCCCCAGAAGTTCCTGAAGTCTCCCCACTCTGCCCCCTTCTCCCCTACTTTCAACTCTTCTCCCTTCTCTCCTAGTTTCAACGTCAGTGCCCCTGCTTTCGTTCCTAACTTTAGTACTGGAGATCAGGGAAGGGGTGTTAATGATACTGCTAGTGCGGAAATATTCAAGATGCTGGGTAAGTTGCAATCGTGTTGAAAATAATACAACTGGATAATTGAATAACGCAACAGCCAACAAATGTTTAAATAACAACTTTCTCCATAACATTGAAAACAAACCCCCTCTCCCCAGGAATCAACAAGACTAGTGTTAGTGGAGCTCCACAAGAAGAGATGGGAGCGCCAGGTACCAACAAGGAGAACACTTTGGCTAACATTCTGGCTAACATAAAGGAGTACCAGAACCGAAATAATGGTTAATGTACTGGGTGTGGTGAGGTTAATGGTGTTAAGAAGTTGAGAAGTGAAGTAAGAGGTGAAGTAAGATGGTATTGAGGTGAATTTAGAAGGTTTGGAGGTGAAGTTAGATGATTTTGAGGTGAATTTAGAAGGTTTGGAGGTGAATTTAGATGGTTTTGAGGTGAATTTAGTAGGTTTTGCAATTTGCGGTGAATTTAGTAGGTTTTGCGGTGAATTTAGATGGCTTTGAGGTGAATTTAGAAGGTTTGGAGGTGAATTAGAGGGTTTGGAGGTGAGATTAGAAGGTTTGGAGGTGAGATAAATGTTTCTGGTGGGCCTGGCTCAAATTGCGTGAGATGATTTTACGATGCCACGGAAATGTTCATGTTTTGAGAAAGAGGAATTTTATTTCATGTCTTGTTATCAGGTTATCCTTGTGATCATATAAATTTCCTGGAATTTTAATTTACTCTACCGATTAAGTTTGAGCGAGCAATGCAAACATCTAAAACTTTCTTTTGAATCGTTTTCAACTTTTTACCTGATTTTGTGCTAATTGCTGCGGTGCTTTACTTTTAATTTTATCATTTTTCCAGCCGCAAACTTTTCCAAACTTGATTGTTATTCCCTTAATACTATAATTAGGTTATGAGAATTACTGAATCAAGTAAATACCGACTCGTAAGATAATAATAACGAGTTATGATTTGTTCTTGATTTGAATTTTGAACTCACGTAATTTGAATAGATGAATAGACAGTGGGCTGCAATGAATTTAAATTAGAAATTTTCGGATTTTAAGTTGGTGCTTACCTCTGATTGGCTAGATTGGTGACATTCACAGTTCATATGAATAATGATCTGCTCTCTTATGAGTCATGAATTAATGTATTGGGAATTATGAAATCAGTTAAAATATTTGTACTAATATGACGGGTAATTACATAGTAATTACACAATTACACAGGGTACATTTGTTATGCCAAAACATATAAATTTATATTGATTTTTCTCATTTCCACTCATTTCCATATCATATGAATGAAAATTGTTATGATTTCCAATTATATTTGATCTTTTGTGGATATCATTTATTTTGGTACAGGCACGATAGGAATTATGTTTTTGATCGATTATCATAATTTCATATGAGTGAAATATATTATACACTATAATTAAATTACAGCAACGGTACAATTTAGGTTGGTCGATGTGTAACGTTGCATCTACTAAATTTTTGTAACAGCGAAACTTCATCTGATAGGGGAAGGATAGAAAGCATTTTATAATTCAAAACTAAATTGAAGTGAATTGAAGTTGAGCGAGCTTAAAAATATGGCTGTAAAAGTTCTATTTTAATTTTACGTGGAAAACATGTGGGGATGATCAGATGAAGTTTCTACTGCATGATGCCTGGGGTGTGATGAGCAACTAGTAGTGTGTACGATAATATGCACGTGCAATCTGTTGTGCGTGCAATTAGATGCACGTGCGATTAGTTGAACGTGCGATTAGACATGCGCACGCAATGTGTTGCACGTGCAATTAAACGTGCGATATGATACTCTCTTTTGGTGTTTTATATTTTTACACTAGATCCTTTCTGTCGAGTGAGATAATTTTTAATTTTTATAATTTTTGTTTTACAACATAATATTACATGATAGTTATTTACATTTCGTTATTTTGATTTCGAATCTATAAATCTATTCTATTCATTCCAAATTTTGTGATATATATGATGACGTTGCCGTTATCCAATGAATATATAATCTAGGAATTGTTTTACCAGACTGGGAAAAATTGATTAATATAATTCGAACCAATTAGTGAATAGATCAATTAGTTAATTGATCACTGCAACAGCAAATTTAAAGTTTGGACTGAAGTGTTTTGTTCTCTAGAAATGTGAGATTTTACAAAATTCTCTTGTTGATCTGAAGGTATGTACTGAGGTATGTACTGAGGTATGTACTGAGGTATGTACTGAGGTATGTACTGAGGTATGTACTGAGGTATGTACTGAGGTATGTACTGAGGTGTGTACTGAGGTATGTACTGTGTACTGAGGTATGTACTGAGGTATGTACTGAAGTGTGTACTGAGGTATGTACTGAGGTATGTACTGAGCTGAGGTATGTACTAAGGCGTGCAATCTGCTTAACAAAATGAAAAAAAAGAGTTGTCAGGGTGATGTAATATTTGAATTGATACTTTTACTAAAACTAACTTTCGTAGTATCGTGAATTATTCTAAATAGCTCATATGCGGATTGATAGAAATTTAAAGAATGCTGTATTGCAAAAATCTTTTATAGTATATTTATTTAGAAATGATTGTTGAGTTTTTAAACTATTATTATAATTTTATTCCTATCTATAAATCTTTATTGTTTGTACACCTTATACAGTGTAGTTTCATTGTTTTCAATACAGTAAAAATCCTATTCCTCAACAAATTTGATTTCAATAATGATGAATAAGATAATAAATAATAAATTTCCCATCTTTCATATAGTGAAAAATATTGAAATATTACAATATCTTCATGATTACAAAACTATAAATTAACTTAACTATTGGTTAAATAATATAAAAATGTAAAAAAACTGGAGTTTAGTAAGATAATATCAGTAAGATAATACCGCGCTCCTTCACAAACCATTTCAGGAGGCAGGTGGTAGGGAACCAAGGTGCAGTTGAGCGCAGCACAGCAGCAATAACCCGCACAGAGCGCCTCGCGGTGGAGACGGAGAATATTGGGAATGAAATAACCACGGAGTTAGGTAATAGTTGGGACGGGGGGGGGGGGGGGGGGGCAACCCCTTTTATATAATAGTTGGGACGGGGGGGGGGGGGGGGGGGGCAACCCCATTTATATAATAGTTGGGAGGGGGGGGGGGGCAACCCCATTTAGGTAATAGTTTGAACGGGAGGGGGGCAACCCCTTTTATATAATAGTTGGGAGGGGGCCTGGGGGGCAACCCCTTTTATATAATAGTTGGGAGGGGGGCCGGGGGCAACCCCATTTATATAATAGTTGGGACCGAGGGGGGGGGGGCAACCCCACATTTATATAATAGTTGGGACGGGGGGGGGGGGGGGGGGCAACCCCTTTTATATAATAGTTGTAGACTGGGGGGAATAAGACTGGGGTTAAGATAATTTAGTTGATAGTTAGAATATCATATAAGAATATTATATTAGAATATTACATTACTAGAATATTATATATAAGAATATTATATTTAAATATTATATATTATATATTAGTGAGACATCAAATATCACGGTTATCGTGGTGGAAGGGGGGAGGTGCCAACTTGAAAATTTGTTTTGACACGTGACAGAAATTCCATATTGGTTCCACTAACTAAAGAAACACAGGTCATCAGCGTGAGGGGGGGGGGGGGGGCAATATAACACTGTTCCATATTGGTTCCACTAACTTAAGAAACACAGGTCAGCAGCGTGAGGGGGGGGGGGGGGGCAATATTACACTGTTCCATATTGGTTCCACTAACTTAAGAAACACAGGTCAGCAACGTGAGGGGGGGGGGGGGCAATATAACACTGTTCCATATTGGTTCCACTAACTTAAGAAACACAGGTCAGCAGCGTGAGGGGGGGGGGGGGGGCAATATAACACTGTTCCATATTGGTTCCACTAACTTAAGAAACACAGGTCAGCAGCGTGAGGGGGGGGGGGGGGCAATATAACACTGTTCCATATTGGTTCCACTAACTTAAGAAACACAGGTCAGCAGCGTGAGGGGGGGGGGGGGGCAATATAACACTGTTCCATATTGGTTCCACTAACTTAAGAAACACAGGTCAGCAGCGTGAGGGGGGGGGGGGGGGGGCAATATAACACTGTTCCATATTGGTTCCACTAACTTAAGAAACACAGGTCAGCAGCGTGAGGGGGGGGGGGGGGGCAATATAACACTGTTCCATATTGGTTCCACTAACTTAAGAAACACAGGTCAGCAACGTGAGGGGGGGGGGGGGCAATATAACACTGTTCCATATTGGTTCCACTAACTTAAGAAACACAGGTCAGCAGCGTGAGGGGGGGGGGGGGGGCAATATAACACTGTTCCATATTGGTTCCACTAACTTAAGAAACACAGGTCAGCAGCGTGAGGGGGGGGGGGGGGGGCAATATAACACTGTTCCATATTGGTTCCACTAACTTAAGAAACACAGGTCAGCAGCGTGAGGGGGGGGGGGGGCAATATAACACTGTTCCATATTGGTTCCACTAACTTAAGAAACACAGGTCAGCAGCGTGAGGGGGGGGGGGGGGGGGCAATATAACACTGTTCCATATTGGTTCCACTAACTTAAGAAACACAGGTCAGCAGCGTGAGGGGGGGGGGGGGCAATATAACACTGTTCCATATTGGTTCCACTAACTTAAGAAACACAGGTCAGCAGCGTGAGGGGGGGGGGGGGGGGCAATATAACACTGTTCCATATTGGTTCCACTAACTTAAGAAACACAGGTCAGCAGCGTGAGGGGGGGGGGGGGGCAATATAACACTGTTCCATATTGGTTCCACTAACTTAAGAAACACAGGGCAGCAACGTGAGCAGCTGGTCCGGACACGTGACATGCTCGATCAGACGGACTCAGCGCTCGACAAATCTCGGAGGACTCTTCTAAATATGGCGCGGAAAGCGGTCACCAATAAAATAGCCCTCATATCTATTATAATTGTAGAAGTGTTGATCTTAGCCAGTGTGCTGTATTGGAAGTTCAAGTAGCGAGTTTTTTGTCAGATTTTTATACATATTTCAGATTTTTTGTCCGACGTGATACTGATCATCAATCATGTGATTTTTTGTACAAACTTAAAACTTCAGACTTTAAACTGATGAAATAATAATAGGTTTGGGAATTAGTCTGTCTGGTGGTGTTGTTGATGTAATTATTTTGTTTCCAGTGCACAAATAAAGGAAATAGGGAGTGTAATTCTATAGCATCGTTTAGCTGTAAGTTAAAGTATCACAGTTACAGTGCAGTACAACGCTAATTTACTGCTCCAACATTGTAGATAATATAATATACCGCGAAACTCATGTTTAAATAACGAAGCATGTTTGTCACATGTATTGAATATTGAATATTCTATCATGGTAGATTTGAATTCTTTCCACCTGCAATTCAACAACAAACATGCTGAATATTAATCTAGAACTTACCAAACAATGTCAAATGATGGTTCGCTGTTTATTAGTCAGAACAATGTCAAATGATTGTTCGCTGTTTATTAGTCAGAACAATGACAAATGATGGTTCGCTGTTACTTACTGGATAATGACAAATGATGGTTCGCTGTTTGTTAGTCTAAACAATGTCTAGAAAACTATTGTTGTCTGAAATTATATTCAAGAATTTGATCATAACTTTATAATCATTTATTTTTTGACAAGTTGTTGTGCTATCGTGTAGTTTATGTTAATGACTTTTTTGGAATGTTTTTTGTAAATAATTCATTTAACCTTGATAATTGTGTTTATAAAATACATACTTTAGTATTACTGCAATGTAAAAACTTAAGGAAGTAAGTGAAACAGATACCAGTTTAGATACAAATATTTAAATATTACACTTGGTCGTAAATTTCAAAATTGTCCATTCGAAAATCCCTAAAATTACTCTGATTATTGAAAATCTAAATAACACGTGTTATATAATATTAAGGACGTTACAGAAGGAATATATTTAATGTAGTTTGAGGACTCCTCACGTCCGACAATGGTGTTTCTCTTGTCGCTAATGTAGACTTGTAACCCATCCTAGCGTTCCCACTCAGTTATGGACCACCACTTTTTAAATTTATTTATTAACTAATTAACTTATATTGCACTCAGTTATGGATCACCCCCTGGTGGACTCTATAACGGAGGTGTCTGGCCTGACCTAATTAACTTATTGACTAATTAACGTATTGACTAATTAACTAATTAACTTATATTGCACTCAGTTATGGACCACCCCCTGTTGGACTCTATAACGGAGGTGTCTGGCCTGACCTAATTAACTTATTGACTAATTAACTTATTGACTAATTAACTAATTAACTAATTAACTTATATTGCACTCAGTTATGGACCACCCCTTGGTGGACTCTATAACGGAGGTGTCTGGCCTGACCTAATTAACTTATTGACTAATTAACGTATTGACTAATTAACTAAATAACTAATTAACTAATTAACTTATATTGCACTCAGTTATGGACCACCCCCTGGTGGACTCTATAACGGAGGTGTCCGGCCTGACCTTATTAACTAATTAACTAATTAACTAATTAACTAATTAACTAATTAACTTATATTGCACTCAGTTATGGACCACCCCCTGGTGGACTCTATAACGGAGGTGTCTGGCCTGACCTAATTAACTTATTAACTAATTAACTAATTAACTTATATTGCACTCAGTTATTGGCCACCCCCTGGTGGACTCTATAACGGAGGTGTCTGGCCTGACCTAATTAACTTATTAACTTATTAACTAATTAACTTATTAACTGATTACCTAATTAACTTATATTGCACTCAGTTATGGACCACCCCCTGGTGGACTCTATAACGGAGGTGTCTGGTCTGACTGCGGACCGGGCACGTTACCTCCTCTGCATGCTGGGTAGTTACCCTCTAGCTCTACTCTTCTCCACTCTCCTCTCTCCTGCACGTGCTAGTCCTACTGTTAGACACTTGTTTCAGCTTACTGCTGGCCTCCTCTTCTGTGTCTTCTGCTTCAGACTGTATGTCTTTAATGTTTTACTTATTTTATGTTATTTTGTTTTACGGATAGTATTAAAAACATAATTAATTAACTAATCCTCTCAGTCAGGTACTACTCCTGCTACTAGATACTGGAGTATGTTACCTAACTAATTAACTAATTAACTAATTAACTAATCCTCTCAGTCAGGTGCTACTCCTGCTACTAGATACAGGAGTACCTAATTAAATAATTAACTAATTAACTAATTAACTAATCCTCTCAGTCAGGTGCTACTCCTACTACTAGATACTGGAGTATGTTACCTAACTAATTAACTAATTAACTAATTAACTTATTAACTAATCCTCTCAGGCAGGTGCTACTCCTGCTACTAGATACAGGAGTATGTTACCTAACTAATTAACTAATTAACTAATTAACTTATTAACTAATCCTCTCAGTCAGGTGCTACTCCTGCTACTAGATACAGGAGTACCTAATTAACTAATTAACTAATTAACTAATTAACTAATTAACTAATTAACTAATCCTCTCAGTCAGGTGCTACTCCTGCTACTAGATACAGGAGTATGTTACCTAACTAATTAACTACTTAACTAATTAACTAATTAACTAATTAACTAATTAACTAATCCTCTCAGTCAGGTACTACTCCTGCTACTAGATACTGGAGTATGTTACCTAACTAATTAACTAATTAACTAATTAATTAATTAACTAATTAACTAATCCTCTCAGTCAGGTGCTGCTACTGCTACTAGATACTGGAGTATGTTACCTCCTAATTCTCTTCTCCCCGCCCCGCCTAGTCCATCTCACTGTGTTTTGGTGGGCTATCACTTTCATGAGTGTTTCTCACATCTACCGCATGTACACCGACTACAACGGGTTAGTGTTCTCTGATTGGTTGGTTTGTGTCACGTGGTGTGGATAGTGTTCTCTGATTGGTTGGTTTGTGTCGCGTGGTGTGAATAGTGTTCTCTGATTGGTTGGTTTGTGTCACGTGGTGTGAATAGTGTTCTCTGATTGGTTGGTTTGTGTCACGTGGTGTGAATAGTGTTCTCTGATTGGTTGGTTTGTGTCACGTGGTGTGAATAGTGTTCTCTGATTGGTTGGTTTGTGTCACGTGGTGTGAATAGTGTTCTCTGATTGGTTGGTTTGTGTCACGTGGTGTGAATAGTGTTCTCTGATTGGTTCGTTTGTGTCACGTGGCTAGAATAGTGTGCTCTGATTGGTTGGTTTGTGTCACGTGGTAAAATACAGCACTCTGCAGGTACACACTAGACTTTACCGGTCCGACAATGATAATAACGATGAAAGTCACTAGTTTGGCGTGTAGTGTGTATGATGGGACACACCGCAAACAAGAGGATCTCAACAACGATCAGAAAATATTAGCTATCAGGTAATTACAACCTGTTAACAGTTTAATTGATCAATTAGTTAATGAGTTATTAGTATAATCAGTATAATCAATCAATTAGTTAACATTTCTTTAGCCAAGAGAGAGTGTCTAAACTTAATGTTTAAAACTAGTTCGTTATTTAAATAACACCTGTTTTCAGACGCACACCAACAGTAATAGAATATATGAGTTACATGTTCTGTTTTACCAGTGTACTCAGTGGGCCCACCTTCAACTTACAGGATTATCTTAACTTTATTGATGGGTCAAATACTGAACAGGTTAGTCTGTTGATAAGTTTAATTAGTATTTCTTATCTTGGTGTATTAGTTTGTTGAGTCATGTATTATATAATGAATCACCTGTGAAATGTACTTTATTAAAAAAACAGCGACGTTAACTTAATTTGACCCTAGCTTAGTTGTGATTTTGTAACATTTCCCCTATCTTTGCCAAGGGAATAAGTAATCGGGTTTGGAAATATGAGGTGGCTTACCCTGATAAGGACAGTAAACTACTCCTTCGTAATATTCGCCGTTATAACAAAATAGCACATACTTTTCGAGTGTATATTATGCGAGAAATACATTATATTTCGAATAGATTAAATTTGAATGGAACCGCCTATGGCAATGTAAGTGTCATTTCAGCGGAAAATCCTAATGAATTACCCGGTGCTCAATTTCAGCTCCTTCAAAGCTCCTTCAAAACAAGTCCAGTTCTAGCATCAGCTGATAAACCCATGCCATGGCCGATTGGTTCAGCAATAAGATAATATATCAAGCGAGTTCTGTGTTGCAAACCTGCTTACATTCCGGGGGGGGGGGGGGGGGGGGGTTTACATTCAGGAAACAAAACGTATTTCAGCCAGCTGTAAAAGAATCTAAATTAAGGCTCGATTGGGCTGAGTGTCGAGTTAGATAGTAAGAGTGTAAGAGTGTCGAGTAAGCATTAGAAGTATGAAATTTATCATTGACTGTTGGTCACAAATGATAACTGATGTAACACAAAATAACAATAAAGTTTAGCACAAAATACAATAATATGGTGTGACATGGACATAATCATATGTGCATTAAAAACATAAAACAAAACACCGTGCAAAAAGTTACAGATTGATCATTAAAAGTCACTTTAAATGTGCTCCGCTAGTCACTTTAAATGTGCTACGCATATTTCAGCATAAAATAAAATCATACTCAGTATAGCGCAACAGTCACGTGCGCTAAATTCTTGTAAACTTAAACATTTTTGAATTTTGCAAAATGTTCTCTTGTCAGGGAAAACCAGTTCCTTCTGGAATACTTCCCGCATTGCTGAAATTTGTGGCGGCTGTCTTCTTCATATCCTGGACTTTTGTTATCCCTGCAGACTGGGAACCTTTCTTTGGTAAGATTTAATTATTTTACTTATTTTACTTATTTGGTAAGAAATTTGTTTACTTTCTGTGTACTATAGCGTAGTCAGTGCAACGTTACGCCACTGCGTAGTGCAGGGATGTATTAAGTATTCTTTGCGAATCATGTTTCCATTTCAAACAAAATTAAAATATTATATTCAATTATAAACACAATATTAGTACTTTAGTATATTGATTTAAAACTAAGTTTAAATCTAAATTAATATTTAATTATCAACTTCAGATGCTGAATGGAGGGAATCACACTCGTTCCTTTACGCTGCTGGCTATTTGTACCTCATGTGCTTTATTACAAGATGTAACTACTACTTTGCTTGGACACTAGGTGCGTATTTTACTGTAAATATAATATACACTTTATACCGTATATACAGTGATTATGTGACACTGTGACACGACACCTTAATTGGGCACCCTTAACAATTCCCATAATGTTTAACGGGGTGGTTAACGGGGTCGCCTAATCACGTGATTAGGTAAACCAATCACCTGATCACACGTAATGAATAAACGTAATTCGAATGGCCAAACACAATTCAATAGATTTAGCTCGACCCGACTATCCAAACTATCAAATAAATGCGAAAATGAACCTTCATAGGTGAATATACTATATATACTGTGTGTAGTCTTCTGTATTGTATTGCAGTCCACTGAGACTAAGCCCAATTATAAATTAGTTTTAGCAGTCATTAAAAACAACGAACGAATAAACAATTACTTTTAACTTTGTTCATGATAACTTTGTTCACGGTAACTTTGTTCATGATAACTTTGTTCATGATAACTTTGTTCACGGTAACTTTGTTCATGATAACTTTGTTCATGATAACTTTGTTCACGGTAACTTTGTTCACGATAACTTTGTCACGATAACTTTGTTCACTATAACTTTTTTCACGATAACTTTGTTCACGATACATTTTTTTGTGATAACTTTGTTTATGTTTATCTAAAACAACTTCACAGCTGACAGTGTAAGCAACCTCTCTGGATTTGGATTTAACGGCTACAAAGAAAATGGCGGCGCTAAATGGGACAAGATAACAAATGTTTACCCACACAAAACAGAGTGCTCCAGCTCGCTCAAAGTGCTGACAGACAATTGGAACGTTGGCACTGCATTGTGGTTACGCAGGTTCGTTCACTTTATGTTGGTACGTGGTATTGGTAATTCCTTCAGCGTCTTATTTGTTTCACCCACAGTTGCATTTCTCCAGGAACGATAATCCACACTGGATATTTGCGCGGGAAATTCTTCGTGTCGGGGTGTTCAATTATGGAACGTTCATTGTGAATTATTTCATTTTATAATGTGATATGTCAGCAGTCAGTCATTATTATTTTTCGATAACGAGGCCTCAATTGACTGGAGTTCAGGCTCCGACCTTGGAGCTGGTAATCGTGCTTAGATTCCTTTTCGGTCAGACATGGATTCTCACAAAAAAGTCGGAAAAAGTCGAAAATATATTCATCAGTTTTTTAAAATTTCATTCGTGAAAGGTGAGTTATCCCTCCTGAATTATGAGAGTTGATTAAATGTTTGCAAATTCTATACAATGTAGCTAAACTGCGGGTCACATGTCGGTAACACAAACGACCAATTATTTTCAGTGCATTCTGTAACGCGCGCAAACAAATATCTCTACAAAGGACCATATTTTTTAGCGCTAATGCGCGTGCAAATTATTTATTGAATTTAATTTACAGCATACTAGTAGAATTAAAGGCGTCATTTCAAGGAAGGAAACAACGATAAACTTGGGTCTTCACCGAGCCAAGGCTTCTTCACTGCGCGGATCTAATGATATGAAAATATGTAAGGAATGATTGAGAATCGACAGTTTGCCTCAATTGTCGCTATGAATTCAAATGCCTTCAAATTTATCAACAGTAACACCTACCAGTCACTTCACCTGGATTACTCTAAAATCCTGCGACCAATTGAAGTGGCACAGAGTTTATGTCAGTACAAAGTTTTAATCTTTGTTCATACTACGGTTAGCTGAAAGCATACGACAATTCACCCTAAAAGCACATTCCGCCTTGTAAAACTCATGTCAGCTATTTATACCTCTTATAGAATACTAAACATTACTTAACTCGATGCTGCGTAAAGAATACCAAACATCTAGTAAGCTGTTGCCTTTATATTAAATATTTGTATTACTTATTGAATACAGAATCCCCCTGATACTAATTAATAACAGGGTTTGTTACGAGAGATCAGTGTATGCTCCTACAGCAATGACTTACCTTCTCTCCGCCACTTGGCACGGCTTCTACCCTGGTTACTACGGCTGCTTCATGAGCGCTACTCTCTTCTTACTGACATCTAGAAAGGTGTGTAGATCTACTGAGCTGTAGTGTGAAGTTAATGTGATAATAATCATGAAATGTACTTTAAACAACCTGGATAACTTGTCTGATACTATAACTATTAATTATTATAATTATTGATATTATACTTATCTGATTCCTATTTGATAACTGAGACTCACTGTTAACGTTACCATAGTTACAGTTTACACAACTGTGTTCTCATTTCAGTTGAGAAGGGTTGTGAGGCCGAAGTTCCTGGGCTCCACCTCAATTAAAATGTTCTACGATGCATTAACAACTGTCTGCTCTTTGTTGCTGATCAACTTCGCTTCTATTCAACTCTGCCTGTTGAGCTTCGAGCGTAACTACGTTCTGTACAAGTAAGTTATTACTAGTTTAGATAAACTACTTGTTGTACAAGTAAGTATAATTCTTTATTCTAATATTTTATATTTCGTAGTTTATTCTTATATTAAAGTGCTTTTACTTAATACTCAGTGTAAACATGAAAAACTACTTTTATGTAAAACAACTGTCCTGCCAAAATATCAAATTCATATTAAATAGTTAATTTTTACATGAAGTAACACACTAACCCGGTTGATATAGTTGTAATATATTAATTGCTGGTATCATGTCATTAACATAATATCATCATAATTAACTAATTACATAATTATCCTAATTACCGGCCTCTTTATTTCAGACACTTCTACTGCCTGCCTCACATCGTTTGTATCCTGATCTACGTTTTCTGTCCCAGTCCTAAACCGAAGAAAGAATAATCCGAAAACTGAATAATCCGGAAAGTGTCCGGAAACTGCCATCAGTCTCCAGAAAAAAAATTATATTGATTTTTGATTCCAGCAATATGTTGCGGCTTATTACAATTATTATTACAATTATATGTATTCACTAGGATTGTGTCATTTGTGTTAATTACATACAATTAAAGGTTTTAGCTGGTTAAGCGAACAATTTAGATTTTACTTCATATCATTATTACTTCACTCTTAAAGATCCCCCCCCCCCCCCCCCCCCCATTAACATTCAGTCCATACCTATTCGCGTCGTTTGGGCAACATTCCTAGAAATGGTAGAGAGCGAATTGTGAGCTTCGTTCTATGTAGATTATTAGTGTGTAGTCGTTTTACATTTGGTTGCAAATAGCGAGCTCTGTTATCAGCTGTTGTAACTTGCGATAAGAAGTGCTTGTCTTTTAGTGTGATCGTTGTGTAGCCTGTATACAAGAACTGTACATTGGAATATACACGATGCAGTACTCATACCATGAACATACGAAGCATTTGGTCGATGACCCCGATAATGATGATCTGTTTAGTGCCAGACATGCAGATCAGGTAGCGAGAGCTACAAACAGTGTTTTTAATGAAATGTGCCATGAACTGGATGTTAAGGAATACGGAGATCTAGTATTGAAAAACCTGAACAAGCGATCAGTTTCGAAAGAAAAACTGTGTGATTGGCTGCAAACTGTTTGTTTCATTTTGAATCGTTATGCGGCTCCTCATTTGCAAATGGCTGCGGAGAGAGTAGATAAACAGAACATTTCAGTAATCGCGGAGCAGAAAACTGTCATTGATTTGCAGAAGCAGCTCATTGAAAAGAAGGACGAAGAACTCAAGTCTGTTCAAACAACTGTGCAGACAGAAATGAAATCATATTCTTCTGCCCTGAAAAAGACTTGTGCAGCTGCTCTTACGCCAAAGAAGATCTGTACTGCAGTTAAGACAATAGCTGAAAAGGATGAAAGAAGCAGAAACGTCGTAATCTACGGAATAAGTGAATCCGACGGCGAGAAGTTAGAAAACAAAGTTGCTGAAGTTCTTGGTGAGATAAACGAGAAACCTTCTTTTCGTGACTGTTGTAGAGTTGGTCTGAAGAGAGTGGGCACATTAATACGACCAACTAAACTATCTCTAAATAGCTCTGACATGGTTACTCAGGTGCTGCGAAAAGCGAAACTACTACGCACAAAAGAGGGCTATAAAAGTATCTACATTTGCCCAGACAGATCAGTGGAAGAAAGGAGAGCTTACAAGAAGCTCTGGGAGGAATTGAAAGAGAAGAGGAAAGCAGAGCCTAACAGAGTTCATTTCATAAGGAACAATAAGATTGTCAGCTCTGATAAGAACAGTGTATCAGCCTCGTCTGAAGAAATTTGAACTGTTTCACATTCTTCACCACACATTTATTTTATCACAATTTTGTTTCACATTTTAAAAAATCATATCGGGGCCATGTAATTGCGGGCACGTTTTACTGTGCAGTACCGTGTTTGGTCTCCCGACAGATTTTACAGACGGGGGCAATATTTTATTCGAGTTTATTTCATTCGTTGTAATTGCTGTACTCTGTAAAGTTTGAAAAGTATTTAATAAAAAAGTGATCGAGCCCTAATGATATCTGTCCTAGTGATTTAAAGAGGCGACCAAGTTTTCAGCTTTTACATTAAATCCTCTTTTCCATTCCTGATTTAAGCGCTATTTATCCAGCCAATGTCATTGTCTTTAACATAATTGAGATCTTAATGAAGGAGTCTACTATAATTCTTGTATAGATATGTGTTTTGTACTTTTTCTGATTTGCAGGGTGGTTCGTAGTATTTGTTCTAATAGAGTAATATTATGATTGTTCAATCTGTAATACTAGGCAACTCGATTTTGGGAGTCCTGATTTTTGGTACATTTGATTGTATTTTGAGCTTATTTTGTCAGTTATCTTTATATTTATTTTTTCAAAAACAAAACATTTTTTAATTGTTTGTCTCCAGAATGTACTTAGTTATTGTCCCAAGATGTGAGTAATATAATATACCACACTACAATCTGCTACAGTAATTCTAGATTAAATATGGGACCGTAATCTCCCCTTCAGTTCATGGCCCGTATCATCCGTGAATTGAATATGTGAACCACCTCGGGCCTAAGAAGAGAAGTATATTTCAGATGGAAAGTATTTGGGTTCCTCAATCCTCTCCGGAAACTTTGTAACAAAATATGAAATCATTAATGACTTGTTTGGTATATAATAAGTACATACACTAATAATAAGGCTAGAATAGTATAATAAAAAGCTCTAACAAAACTCAACTAAAATACTCGACTGAATCAATAATCGTGCATAATGTCTGAAAACAAACATCAAATTCTGAGATGAGAATAAAAAAGATTCTGAGATAACTGATAAAGAATGAATAAAATAAAATTAGCCTGAACTTTACATCATAGAATTAGAATCGACAATAATGAATAAAAAGGACCCAATTTATATATTCTCCCGATTATATTTGTTGACGCGTGACCTTCATTTAAAATGTCCCATTTCAATACTATTACTATCATCAGAATTCAGAAGAAAACTCGTCCTTCTACCGTCCCTAGGGCGTGTACTCCAGTATCCCGTCCTTAGGGCGTGTGTCCGAGTATCCCGTCCTTAGGGCGTGTATCCCAGTATCCCGTCCTTAGGGCGTGTGTCCCAGTATCCCGTCCTTAGGGCGTGTATCCCAGTATCCCGTCCTTAGGGCGAGTATCCCAGTATCCCGTCCTTAGGGCGTGTATCCCAGTATCCCGTCCTTAGGGCGTGTATCCCAGTATCTACAAATCCTCTTGTTGATGATACTCTTCGTATGCCCTGCCCACAGCTACAGCCCTGATGGAAACGATACCAAACAAGATAGCTGCTATAGCTGTGATTACTGCCTGTCCTTCCAAGAAGAAGTCCATATCCTTCTGAACCTCTGCCACCTCTCCGAATAGCCTGGTAGTGGTAGCATAGTGATTATAACCATGACAACTGGTAGCATAGTGATTATTGCCACAACTGTTATCAATAAGTATAAGTATAACAAAGTTACAGTTACAAGTTAATAATTATAATGGATCATTAGCAGCCGTTTTATATTATAACAATGCTTCATAATAATTAATCATAATTCATAATTTTAAAAGCAAAGTTTATAATAGAACTTACCCAGTGCAAGCCAATGGTAAAGGATTGACAGCAATGCAGAGCGCCGGTGTAAGAATTGACCCTGAAATGCACTTCCGTTAGTCAATACTAATAATATATCCATGAGTAAAGGCGAGCTATATCTACTACTACTAGCAAGCTCCATGGGTCAATAGCTTGGATGATGATAAGTAACTTTACACTGGACTATCACGCGAATAAGGTTAGTACACGGTCTTTAGATGGCTCTGATGGACAATTTAAAACACCAATTCTCTAATTTGTCCCCAAAACTAACCCGATTCCTAATTGAATACTCCAAAACAGCATAGACATAAAAAGAAACTCTTAATGAATGGTCAATGATATGAACATAGTAGAAATTATTTAATTGTCTGTAATCTGTTATCGAGTAAAAGAATAAGTAAAACTAACCAATAAGTGCAAGAACCCAGCTGCCCGACAGCCTGGCGTTACACAGCAACCCAACAATGTAGAGAACTGCTAGCAGACCCCAGAAAATAGCTCCGTAGCCTACACACGTCAAATCATCTGAAGATGGTGGTAATTAGTGGGGTGATTAGTGTGGTAATTATTATGGTGATTAGTGTGGTGATTAGTGGGGTGATCAGTGTGACAATTAGTGATGTATTTAGTGGGGTGATTAGAGTGGTAATTAGTGGGGTGATTAGTGTGGTGATTAGTGGGGTGATCAGTGTGGTAATTAATGTGGTAATTAGTGGGGTAATTAGTGTGATAATAAGTAGTGTGGTAGTAAGTAGTGTAATTAGTGTGGTAATAAGTGGGGTAATTATAATTGAGTTAATAAGTGGTATAATCAGTGTGTCACAGTCAACTATTATTATCAATAGGTTTAGTGGGTAATTAATGTAATTCATGGGTTATAACAGTTCTAATCAATAATCAATATTATCTAGTTAATTAGTAGAAACTAAAATGAGACTTAGTGAAGTTACCTTTAACCCATGGCAAGATTTTAGAGACCAGAAAGTAAATCAGTGTAGTTTCCAGCAGAACGGCAGGATGAGGCAGCAGCCTGTCCACAATAGATTCTCCCATCTACAATAGTGTAATAATTAGTGTGGTAATTAGTGGGGTAATTAGTAGGGTAATTAGTGGGGTAATTAGTGTGGTAATTAATGTGGTAATTAGTGGGGTAATTAGTGGGGTAATTATTGGGATAATTAGTGTGGTAATTAATGGGGTAATTAGTAATGGCAGGATGAGGCAGCAGCCTATCCACAACAGATTCTCCCGATTCCCATTTAAAGTTAATATACAGATTAGCAAATAAATGCGGTGTTTTGGGTTCTGGGTTATTCTGGGTTATTCTGTGTTCTGAGTTATTCCTCGTTGAATTTTACGTCAGTATGAAGGCTTACTTTTTACTCTGTGCCAAAATTTGACCACAACGGCATAAGTTAAATAATCAACATTGCCACTGCCACAATATGCCACCTATACTTAAAATATTAAGGAAGCATAATGAAACTTCCGAGATAAATACAATTCTAACCTATTTCAGCTGAGCCTTGTTCAACAGTTAAAGAAGCGATATCAGAATCAACGACAACAGCTGGAGCTTCGTGTTATAAACAAATTCTATTAAATTTAGAGTTTATTCTTTGTAATAACCCGTGTAAGAAAAGACAAATGATCGCAATGAAATTTATCAAAACGAAATTGGTAACGGTGATCAGGACACTGATAACGAAATTAAAAAGATTAATCAAAAGACTGGCAGTTAGTTCCATGTTTCCAATTGTAAATAATAAACACGCTATTTAACTGTATATATATAACTCTAACAAGCTTACTTTTAACAGCCCTCAAAATACTTTTCCATCAGATGCTTACTACAAGTAGTTGCATCACGATGATCTTATTTCAAGTGAGCTGATATTTCATAGCTCTAGCCTGATATTTCATGTATCCGAGCGGCGGGGCTGTGGCGTGATCTGCAAACAATAGTGCTCATGACAAACTGGGAATTGTTGATGTTCTTTTTTTTACAGATTGTGCCCATATACGGAGTGGAAATTGAGTTTTCAGAATTAGATTTGGAGGGATCATTGAAAATATGTTAAGTGATGATCTTTTTCATTTCCGATTATATTTCTGATACTGATCTTTAAGGCTTAATTATATGAGGATGAGAAAATTTTCTTAATCTTAGGGTTCAATAAAAATTACTTCAATTTTCATAATTATTCAGCATCCAGGATTCCAGTTATCCAAGACAAACGGGAAGGAGGTATTCAATGCTATTATATTTTGGGACTATTTGCTACATTCTAACCCTCAAGGCCAAAATAAAATTCGTGACAGATCGAAGACTAATTTCGTTACTTAAATATAATAGTAATACTAATAGTAACACAGGGTAGCCCAGAAGTAACTACCCACACGCCACCATTTAATAACTCACGTAATTCGTGTCAGAATTAATTGTGGGTCAAACTTAGATTTCCTGAAAGTTTCGTAAAATTTCTTTTTAATCTTGTTACTTAACTATAATAATAGTATAATGTGTAATATAAATAATAGTAATTGTAATCTTAATGGGATATAATAAACAATTGATCGCTACAAGCTGGCGTTTAGCCAAGTACCTCCATTCATGTAAGTTAGCACAATTGGAAACGGAAGTTCAAGTATGTGAGCGTGTTGTATTACTCTGAAAACAGCAATCCTAGAAACTTAATTATTATTGGTAGCTGTCTCAAAAAATAAAAGATCCTCAAAAGATATAACTACATTTTCTCAAAATTACGTCAGTCTCAGCATTAGTAGCAAATGAAATTGATAAATAGGTGTTCCATCCCTCTAAGGGCATGTAAGCTAAGCCAATGATAAAACCGCACTGAAAAACTAGTCACCAGTCGATATAATTATAAATATAAACGAATAAGAAGAGTTAATGGATGTGCAAAACACTTACGTGGCGCAACTAAATTAGTGTTTGTATATTAGTTTATTGTTTGTAAAGTACACAGTGTACAACATAAACAATGAGCCAACACTAACAGTCCTGAACAGCATTCACAGTGTGATTGTGTTATAATCACACGATCACTTTGTCTTAGCTCAAGCTGCTAGGCAGGGCTGACGGAGACGCCTACAACAAATCACACAGTGTGATATACGAGCTGTAAATGTAATACGTTCAGTGTTTAATGAGGTTTAGGTCGTGGGACTTAGCAAGAAACTATATAGCAGATCTGGGCTCTGCAACTCACAAGCCAAATATTGTTTTAACATTTTATCGTTCATCAGAGGGTACATCAATACTAATAATCTCAAGATGTGTGTGTCTCTATGTGTCTGTGTGTCTGTGTGTCTGTGTGTCTGTGTGTCTGTGTGTCTGTGTGTCTGTGTGTCTGTATGTCTGTGTGTCTGTATGTCTGTATGTCTGTCAAGCCAAATATTTTTTAACATATTGATCATCAGAGGGGTACATTATAAAATAAGCGTGGGAACTTATAGAGCCAATTTGGCTCTGAGCCAAAGTAAGCGTGGACAAATGGGATATCAGCAATCAGATTCAGTGCCGGATCTGCTATTATACTTCACATATTATTCCCCTTTATAAGAATAACACGCGCTTTACCTATGGTGATGCAACCTCATCAGTCATATCATCCAAAAATGGGTTTTCTGACAAAATTACTTAAGTAACAAGTTCATTTTGTGCAGTTTGACTTTAAAGATTTCAATTCTGTAATTGCTCTGGGCTAGCTGCTGTTTATTTAAACTGCACCCACTATGTTTCTAAGGTGCTTTGTCGACTTTTGAGACTTATGACAAGGAATTTCATCATCCTAATTTCTCGGAAAGTGCCTCAAAATCACAAATTATAGTTTGAATTTCTTAGAAAAATGCTTAAGTACAGCCACATCTGCAAAAACTCCATGTTCTGGTGAAAATTACCCGTTCAAACCATTGCCATTGGTCATCGAAAATAAGACGAAAAATTAGCCTGAAACTGTTGTGATACCTTGTGATGAAACACTGGTTGTAATATTGGGACACGCTGAAATAAAAAAAATTTAAAATTTCGTTTTCTGAGAAAGGTGCACCAACATTAGAGGGAACTACGACAAATTGATTACTGATGGTTTAAGAACACCAAAACACTCTTTTCTCCCCAGCGGATTATAAAAAAAGGCAACGAGCGGGAATGAAACGTTGCAATTCCTTATACAATTACAATTTTGTTTTCGAATCGGAATTCTACCAGCATTTTATTTTTGACGCTAATTGCTTTGACAAAGAGTCGATTGGTGATAGTACGGGATCAACTTAATAACACCAGAATGTGTGTGTGTCTGTCTGTGTGTCTGTGTGTAATTTCCGAACGGTTATACAAAAAAAACGGTAATAGTTACGGGACTGGTTTTTTCGGTATAGTCCCGACAAAACTCTGATGAAGCCCATAAGCAAATTTTTTTTAAATCGGCCGATGGTAAGTGGTTTAATTGATGGTTTTGTACCACAAAATATGTTACATAAAATGGCTTGAGAAGAACGGCAAGAGTTACGGGGCTAGCTCTCTCTCTCTCTCTCTCTCTGCATATGTAGCGTATATATTGCATGGCGTATATATTACATGGTCATATGATACTATAAACTTATTAGGGGAGGGAGTGCTCAAACGGTCTGTTTGGACTGTAGAGAGAGTTCATACTTTCATACGACAATGTAATGCATGTTCACAAATATGATAGGCTGGTGTGGTGCAGGGTTAATTTCTATTGATTATTGATTAAGAATTACTATTTTTTAAGCATACTATTGGATACGTGAGGGCACTCCGAATACAATTGCTCGCCTAATCCGGGTTTTGACTCAGCGGGTAATTACTCCTACCCTTTTTAACTGCGGCAGTGAAATCCCGGCCGTAGGCCGGGTTACACTAGTATATATATAATAATAAATAAGTTTCTTTCTTTAGAAATTAAATTAAGAACTCAGATGAGCCTTTCTTCATAAAGGCCAAGGTTTTGCGAATTATCTATAATATATTTTAAACTTGACGAATTCCCCCCGGCAACGGGGACATAAAAGAAAAAACAATGAAAATTGACGTACAAATTACCCTCTGGCGTGACAAATTTCAGCTCGCAAATGGAGTTGAAACCTCGCCATTTTTAGCAGAGTTGTACAATTAAAAAGATAGGAATAGGCTATAGGCATAGCATTCTTAGAATTTTGATTAAGGCTTTAGATTTTTTATAATTAACGTCGAAAGTGAGGTAAAATAAATGTTAGAATAATGGCGTTATTTTACCAAAGGTAAACAGCGTCGTTGCTTAGCAACATCAAAAGATTGCACGTGCGCGAGCAAGAACAGATTAGCAACGCGCGTTGTCATGCTCTATGATACGTCATAACTAACTCACATTACAATTTACGCTATGACTTTCCATAACTTTGGTTGTGATTGATGTTTTTTGATGCAGTAAAAGTATCGTTTAGGGAATATTTCAATAAAACCTTTATCGTTATCTGCAAATAAAAATCCATACAATGTATATCACGGAGCTAGATCGTAGATAGATAGATGATAACAAGAAACTATGACACAACTGATTTTACATTTTCTTGAATAAAGCGTTCAGCTAGCGGATGTACAGGTTTGAGGAAGCCTATGAGCTAGGTAAGCAGAAAACTTAGTAGTTAGTGTTCACCATGTTATAACTTTATAAGGAACAACACTCATACTTGAAAAAAGCTTTAAAATCGTACAAGAAAAATTTATGGTCAGGAACAGGTTGTAATAATACGGAATATTGAAACTGTCCCTTTGATCACGAATCAATACGAACAAAAAGGTAGATTGAAAACAGCGTGAATATGAGGTTATATATAAGATGAGCTATAGAAATGAATAAATATGTTTCGCTCTATAACTATAAGGCAGCTGACCCAGGCCGAGTCTATCGCAATCGAGCACAAAATAAAAGGATGAAACATTTTTCTTGTTAGCTTGTAGTAAAAATATACTAGCTTGTTGAGTATTACAATTACATGCGATGAGCTATTTATACTTTATACCCCATGATCCAATAATGTCCTAACATTCCCTACTCAAAGTCAATATCCCATTCACTGTAATTGATAAGCTAAGAAGTTGTGTGAGCAATATGTTGCGTTATCCAGCTATTGTCGTGCGAAGTACCTACAGCTTTACACGTCACGAGGCACACTGTTCCTACTCAAGTATTTTATCCTACAAATCTTCTCTCCAGATACTATTTATTCAGGCAATACTATCGAGAATATATCTATTTATATTTAAAACTTGACGAAAAAAATCAAGGGCTCATAAGTCTACAAAGTTTTTGAACTATATCTTTCTTTTTAGCGCTTGCTATACCCCGTGATTAATTTTGTGGGAAAGGTATGATTATACCTAACCGGATCAATCTCTCTTCTTTCTGCCGCAGAAATGGAGCAGAACGGAAGAAAACTTCGTTGTGCTCTGATTTCCATCCCATTTGGACCGAGCCACGCTGAAACCTGATAATCTTCACCTTCTCGAGCAGTGGTTTTTCTGTTTTGCAGCGGTTGCTTGACGCTTGTCCCATATGACCTTATAGGCCAAGAATGAAAGTCCAAACAGGCCATAGAAACAGCAGTACCCACCTTTTCCACTGCACCATGAAAGTCCTCAAGTCATATTTATATAAGTATATAGCTGTCC